ATTATGGTCGACAGCATCTGGAAAAAAATATTCTCGCGGTTCTAATCAATTTCTGGGTTAATTGAAAAATATAACATTAAGCGCAGAGATGACAAATAATATTACTTTATTGCGAGAAGAACTATAGAAATGAATTCTACAATATAATATAACATTAATTAATTACAGAGTAGTGAAATCTTTCAGATAAAGAATGTTTTATCTTTATAAAACAATTGAATAAGTTATATTATTGATTAATAAATCAATTCATAATTACCATCAATTTATAATCATGAATAATATTTATGATAATTAAATATAATAAAACATAATATTAATCTATTACAATTTCATTACAAAAATATATTTATTATAAACCTTCGACATTTTTGCGTTGCAATCGCAATTATAACAATTGCAAAATATCCGAAATGTTATATGAAACGTCTAATTTAATACAAAAATTAACAAAAATTTGGTATTTTGTAGGTCTTATATAAATGAAAAAAATATTTTTGTTGGTACCTCTGGGATGTAGAGTCTCGTAATTGTCATCTTCGGAAGCAAACTGTCCTTTCGAATAAGCGCCAGCGTGACGACATTGGTGGTAGTTAGCGCGTGTCCTCCGATTAATCGTTTCCCCTTTGACTGTTTTTTTTTCTTTTCAAATAGTTTTTGTCTCATGCCGAGACAGTCGCCACTTTTTCTGCGTCGGCCAATTTTCGGGTGTGCAAACACGGCCCATTGTCGTGGCGCACGCGCCCTCGCCGTTCTCCATCTCGCTTTCGTCGTCGTAGGGGTTGCTCGGCTCAGAGCGCATCCTTTTTCGCCCCATCATCCTGTTTCACTCGCTCTTCGCGCTTCTTCGCTACCCTTTTCCGTTCTCCCTACGTGCGGGATTTAAATATGCAAAACGACTTTTTTTTCCTTGCCGCGTCGGCTTTCTCCCTTGTTTGGTCCGCCGCGCCCACATAATTACCGGGTGGCGGGAAAATAACGGACAAAAAACCGCGTGCGCGCGGAGGAGCGAGCAAGCGGGACGCGATGAGCTAAAAAAAAGGTAAGAAAAAACCGAGCGAGAAAAAAGCGATATCACAATTAGACCGGCCGCATCAAAGTAGGCTGCGTAATGTTCCGCATAGCGGGCAGAAAGGGGTGGCACGATTTAACCACGCGAGGGGTGATCACCGAAACTGTAAACTCCGGTATTGTACTTGCCCGCTGAGTAGTTTTTTTTTGCAGTTGATCACAAATCAACGCAGTTACGTCTCGTTAGGAATATCGTGTTGGTATATATTCGGAGATACGTTAGAATATTCGTTTGCTACTTTTTTATAAAAAGTTATATTATGTTAAATTGATTATATAAATTAAAAAGAGATCATTCAATTCCGATATATAACTTTTAAATATAATAGTGCCATTATTTCTTTATAACAAGATTATTGTTGAGTTCTTAATTTTTTTATGATGATTAAATGAATATAATATGAATATATGATATTTTACATTATCTGATTTTAGAAAAATGATATTTTATAACGATCTCAATTGTATTTTTAATATCACAAAATATTATGCATAATTGCATTAAACAATAAGTTTCTATCTATTTTCTTTGATGTTATTTTATATCATGATAATGATTTAATATATTATAGAAATATATTTCTATAATTATGCATTATAATTTATACACTTTTAATAGAAACATGAAAAATATATGTTTATCAGAGAGAGATGATGTAATATTTGACGTATCTGCAAAAATCATTGTTTTCCGTACGACCGACAACTTGGCTTCTTCCACAATTATTTTTAAAAATTATCTTTCTTCCTTCCTTCGTCTTAAATTTATTATCATGATTAAAAATACCGCAATTTATATTGCCGGGATTTTCAAGTGGCCGGTTCGAAAAGAGAGCTCCGTGCGAGGAATTAATATACGAGGTGTGTCGTGCGGATTAGTCTCATTACAATTTTCAACCGAGGCGACGTCGCATTTCCAAACGGCAAAAAAAGAGAAAAAAACTCGGAAGATTAACGAGCGAGCAGCCCTTATGAACCATCTCGACGCCTTGAAAACCGCGAACGAGAGGGATGAGAGAGAAAAAGAGAGAGAGAGAGAGAAAAGATGAGTGGAAAAAGGAAGAAAAAAAAGATAGATTGCGAGGAGGAATTGGATATCGCAATTAAACAGACCGCCAACCTTACAAATTGGAAGTTGAATTTTTTTCGGACCACTGCCAGGCGTTGCTACAGCCCTTAAAACATTGCGAACTGAGGGGTGCGGAGAAGAGCGAGCTGCTCTCGCGGTACGGAAAAAAAATCCATAGGGGTCCCTCTGTTCATCTCTCTCGCTCCGCAGCATCCACAGCCCGAAAAAAGAGGGTCGCTGGATTGTGCGTAGCGGCAGGGATGAGCGGAGAGGAAATCTACAAGGGTGGTGCTGATGGCGGTGGCGGTCGTGCTAAAAGCAAAACAAAAGCTGGGCGACATTCTCGGACGCCTTCCGAAACATGGCCGCTTTCGCGAAGGAATCGCGATTGTTAATTCGTTGGTTTTGCGCGAACAATTTTTATACAATTACTCCATTTATTAACAAAAATTTGATAATCATAAACAGATTGTTTGCGTCTTATTTATATTTATTAATATGAGAATGAGACGAAAATGCAATTTATACTAAAAGAAATATTTCATTTATTTCTATAATTATATAAACATCAGATTATAAGACTAAAATAGAATAATATAGAACATTTTGAATTTTTGGATAATATACAACATATACATATATAGTAACAATAACACTATCATTAATAGTTTCACTTTATACCAATTATTTCGGCAATCTGTACTTTTTCCAAACTAATGTTATATCTTAATTTGTTTGAAAAAATTGAAACAAGATTATGTTTGACAAGTCGCATTTTAATTTGTAACGCATTATATTAGTCAAATATTATAATAAATCGAATCTTAAACAGAATTAGAGTATAGCACGTGAATAACTTATTTAAATATTTCGCATTTAGCTCACAGGAATCTGTAATTGTAAAAACTGTTTTAATCAAACCTTGCTGTAAGCCAATAATTAAAAATTTATGTTCATTATGCCTTGCATTTATAATGAAAAAAAATCCATAGAGATAGCGACCGCGCCTATTATATATAATAGATGGTCTCCCCTTCTCGGTCAACCTTCTCATCTCATCTCGCCAGTTCGACCAGCCTCCACCTTCCACTTTCATCCCTATAACCTCTACCTACCAAGCACCACCCTTCGCCTGCAACCCACTTTCAATCAATATTTAAAGAATTGCGCCTTAATAACACCGTCGTGGCGTCACGTGATAGCAGCTTTCAGGCTCTTATGTTCCATCTTTTGAAAAAGTCATGATCCTTTTATGTAAAACTTTGCTTTCGTAATCGACTGATGATACAGTAACTTACGACGTCATTGATTATTGGTAATATTGTATCGATTATTGATAAAATTTTATCTTGACACAAAGATAACTTCTTTATTCAACTAATAGTTCTATAATCTACTGTAGTAAAAATGGAAAATATAATTGATCAAATATACGTCCTATGATTATACTTATCAAATTCAATTCAAAACTGCACATTTTAAATTTAAAAATAAACTTTAAAAAAGTATAGAAAAGTATAAAAAAGTATTTCAAAGTTTTCTCTTTTTGTCTCTTTTTTTTTCTCTTTGAAAATTCATAATTATTTTATTCAATTAAAAAATTTTGAATGTGAAATAAGATATTTGAATCGATACCTTTTCTGAAAACATTACAATGTCAATTATATTGTTAAAATATAAAATATTAAAATATTGGTTTTATTAACATTTCTGCAATATTTTTATTATAATTAACGTTATTAAGATATATTGAAATAATGCTTTAGCAAGTGCACAGATTAATAAAAAGAGTCAATAATATCAATAACACATCTATTTTGTTTGTCGAATTAAATTATTAAATAGTAGTTTTTTTTAATAAAATAACGATGTTTACGGGGTGAAGGAAGATTTTGATGAAGACAGTATTATATACATCTATTATATAATATTTATCGCGTATACATAATGTACACATTTATTGCAATGAACTGATTCATCGGAGAAAAGGAGTAATCACTAAAATAATTACAAATCTCATGCGTTTAAGGGGATTTTAATTTAATTCAAGTACAATTCGTAATGTGTGCGATAATAATATTTCTCGTGTTAATTGACATTGAATAACATTACAAAATAAAGCATATAATGAATGTAAAATTAACTGAATACTGTGTTCATTATCTTTTCCTTAAAAATTATCAAGGCAATAATTCAGGGCACTTGTTACAATGTAGTGCCAATGTAACAGTAATATCTTTGTGGATGTTGTTTATATATTATAACAATCTGTATATACAGTTGTGAGTGTTTGAGGTTTGCTACTAATGAGCGTTTCACGGTAAATTCTTATATGTAAATGTGTGATTTTTAATTTTTACGTAATACTTACACACACAAGGTTTCACATTATCGTCGGCAAGCAGTCTTCAAAATATTAATCACTAAAATGTATAAGAAGATGTTTTGTGTTAAAGTCATTTCGAAAATTTTTGCAAATTTTTTTCCTGATATTTACGCATATGAATATAAAAAAAACGAATTCTATGTATGTCGCAATTTTTTTTGTTTAGTACGACAGTAAAAAATTGTAATATCTGGAGAGAATTATTTTAAATTCTGATACTTGTTTCTCACAGAATATTTAAAAATCATATAAAGTAAACATGGTAGTCAAAAATTATCACTAGAAATTGGAACACCGAATAATCTTTTAGTCTGTAAAAATGTAAAAAAGAAAAACAAACCTCGAAAATTTAATCGAAAATTGATCTAAAAATCATATAAAAACTTAATAATCTAGTAAAAAGAAAAATTTTTTAAAAAATGTAATACACCAGAAATAATCCATGATAAATTCGTAATAAATTTCCTGATGTAAAAAGTCCGGGATTCAAATCGGTGCTCAAAATGTATGGTTGCACGTGTTAGGAGGAAATACAACAAATTATCGCGCAAGGACCATTACATTTGTACATCCGTATTTATATGTAGGTAGACGATGCTCACTGACATATATCGCGCCACATGCGAGTTTACTGATTACTGTAAATAGGACTTTCATAAGATCATTTATAATAAGAATGTGAATAATATAAGGTGGTATAGTAATAATAATAATAATAATAATAATAAATCACATCTGCCGTTCTCATAACTTTGCTATACACTAAAAGCATCTTTGGTGTTCTCCTATTCTTCAATCATATATAAGAAAAGGCTACAAAATGTGATTTTAGATCACACATAATAATAATTGATACATTCCAAATATTAGATTTAGGATACTTTCCAAATACGAGGTTATATCGATAAAATGAGATTTGTTCCGGCAGTATTCGACTTTGCGACTTTACAACACCTCACAGTCTCACAATTCACCCTCTCGCCCGTCATTCAACAAAGAAAACAAGAGCTAAAAATCTCCATAATATCTGTAACGTGATTAAAGCTCTCTTTGTAACACCCCCAAAGATTTGTGTTACCCTAAATACACTATGATATGCTCTAATTAACTTCTCGTCCTGTTCGGGCGGAAATCATAAACGACTTTGGTTAAAACGCTGCATCAAGAAAAAAACGATCGCTGTGCGCAAAAATCTAGCCTTAAAACTTTATTTCGACTCTTATTTAATTTTTCCTATCCTTCAAAAAGATTTTGTAAATTGAAAACTCGCGCAATTCACTAATGGAAACAGCTTAATGAAAATTTTAAACGTTTAATGAGGATACTCTAAAGTTTGGAAGATTTGCCGCGACACAATAATGTTTGTTTCGCGTATAATATATAACATCGGCAATAATAATAAGTAATATGATCACATACATGAATCTCTGTCAGACAATTATAGGAAAATAAAAGGAACACGTGGTACGATCGATCGTTTGACGAATTTGATCGTAATATCAACGTGTAATTAATCAATTTTTGTTCGAAGACTTCAAATATCTCGGCAGTTTTCGGGCAGCTTTTGACGTGGTTCCGAGAACACGTGTGTGGTCCGTCAAACCGGATGTGCGCGAAAAAGAAGACCGCTTTATGCGCGATTGAGAGACTCTTATTGTTAGATCTTCGAAGCTACATAGACGGTCATTCGAGAAGTGTCTGCGAAGAAGTGCGGCTTCAACAAGCTTCAACTTCTGATGCAGCAACCGCTTTGTTTTGGTAATCATGCGGCCAGCAGGTTCTTTATATTTTTCGGTGTGTTTTCCTCGTTCAAGTGCTTCGTAGTGTAGCGCAAAGCATTCAGCAGGCCTTCGCTCTTGCAAGGCGGCTGATCCTTCAATAGTTTCACACAGCCTTTGACCTATCAGATTATGAAACATAAAATCGTTATTGTCTTTGAAAAATATGAAAAATATGAACAAAACGAGATTTTGCAATTTTTTTCTACGTGATATTGTCGGATTCTTAATGAGAAATAAGTAGTTACTCTAGAGACTTTTAACACATGATATGTCGATAAATTTCATAGAAGTATTGAATTAATGTTTAATTAAATTTTTTTATTAGAATATTATGTTCAAGATTTGTAATTTTTTGATGCTCACATCCACATTCGAACCCTTTACGAAGGCACCTTGGGGATGTACATGATCGTAGAGGATCACTAGACCCACCATGACCCTTAAAACAAAGAGCTGAGTTTCTTCTCGTTGGAATTGTGCCAACAAATTCCTGAAAGCAAATATTTCCCAAATTAGCTTCGAAGAAATTTCTTAGTCAAGCTCTGATTCCATTTTGATAGAAATAGTACTTACGGATTTTCCAACATTCGAAGACACACTTTTGCCATTGTACCAAGTGTTTCTGTTATATTTTCTCTTGCTATATCTTCGTTCTAAAAATAAAGGAAGACAATTTTATGAAGGCTAAACATATTACTGAAAATGACGAAAAATTTTTCTATCTCAAAAATATACGAATATTTTTTATATAGATTTTCCCACATTTTTTAATATCTCTGTTACGGAGCTTATATTTGAAAAACATCGTTCTTCATTATAAAATATTTTATTATACGTTTGAAGATATTTTCAATATTACGTTATTATTTTGTTATCGCTTTTAATTAAAAACTTGTATATAACATTGAACGTTTGTCCATTATGCAATATTTATTTGTTTGATTGATGTAGTTTATAGAATTCGGATAATTTAAATCGCAGAGCAGAATATCTGTCAATTTCCTGCTTCAGCAGAGCTATTCATTTTATGGACAAATTTTTTCTGTCCGCCTTGCCATTCTACTGCATGTTGATCACGTAACGCAGATATTTGTCATCGCAATCAATGCGAGTAAAAATTGATGATCTATTGCAACGTTAAAAAATATCTTTGTATGTGTCAATATGATCAAAATAGTTTTGTTAAACGCATTAAATATATATATATATATATATATATATATATATATATAGGTAATATGTTACTCTATTATTACTTTTAATTTATTTTCTGATTTTTTAATTATTAATATATAATAATTATTAATATTAATAAATTATCAACATTAATTTTGTAAAAAATTGCTAATAAGAAAAATGAAACAGTTTTTATTTATTAAGAAATTACGTTATCGCATATCGAAATGATTATACTTATTCGAGTTCAATATATCAACAATAAAATAATTACATGTATGTTCTGTATAATTTCGAAAGAAACATAGTTTCTAATCAAGGAATAATTAAGCGGTAGGTCGCGAGACCGCATGGATTACCGCAGAATTTCAGCTAATTGCCATCAGTTAGCATCTGGCCGGATCAATAATTGTCCAGGCAACAATGGGAGGTCGCGCGGACGAGAATAATGTAGAGAAGCGATACCACTTACGTCTATCAAGAAAGTAATGGTCGCGTGACTCAGAACACGAAGCATGGGTGTCGCGTGGGCGTAGAACAAGGACATTCGGTTGGCGAGTTCGTTGCCGACAACTAAATCCTTCTCTGCGTTGTCCTGTCGCGCCAAAGACGCCCTTGTCAACGTCCTCCGGTAGTAACTGAAGTCATTTTGGATCGCCGGCGTTTTCATTTTATGCTCGTCAAACTTCAACACAAATTCCAATATCTCCGCCAATTGTTTGACTAGGGCCTGCTGCGTTTCCAAATGTTGCGTTGGTGAGAGATTTCCCGAGCACAATTGACCCAAAATTTTCGGTACAACCCTTTCTGCGCATATAAATGAATAAATGTAATTATTATCGGAATAATTATCAACATTCATGCGAATCATCGGAGATGTTGTTACAATGCTCTCAAAATAAATATCCATAAAGTACATGCGAACATTAATCCATACTAATATGATTAGTACAATATATATTATTGATTTTATGTCAGAAGAGTATATAACCAATACGTAAAAGTAAACAACATGTTAACGCAATATTAATAATTGAAAATTAATATCAGTTACGATAATAAAACACGAGATAATGATTAATTAATCATTTGAATATAATGATCAATCAATAATTTTAACATTTTTAAATTGTTGACGATAATTCCTTTCGATTGTTTTTGTATACAGAATAATTAATGAGACAAAAATTTTTAAAAATTGAAAATTAAATATACTCATATTAATATTACCGTGCAATATTACAATATGATATACTATTAATATGAACATATACTTTTGCTCGTAACTATTTGCAACAAAAATCAGATATGGCGAGACCAATGTTCTCTGAAATATTTTTTCACGGATATTACTCCGATAACTATTAATACTTATAACTAATTAAAAACATACGGCACAAATGTGATTAAAAACAAGTGCAGACTGAAGTTTTCCCAATATTTACACCGATATTGAACCTCCAAGAAGCGAAGTGTAATATTTTCCCTATTTATAGAAAACTGATATCGTTAATAATGTAATTAATGATACGTACCGAGTTCCAAGGAAAACTCATAAAATCGTTTGAGTTTCGCGACGAGGGGTGCTACGGTCAGATAAGCCTTTCGTTGGCATTCCTCGGTGGGTGCTGAAATTGCTTCTCTGATTTCTTTGCCGGCCCCTTTGTAACATTGTATTTCCTCCAAAATAGATTCTGAATTTTTCAGCACCCTTTGCACTGCTTCGAACGTCTCGCGTTCGATATCCGATGGTTGCGCATCTGAGAATAAGTAGTACAAACTGATTTGATCAAACACAATATATTTTATAGATTTTTGCTATATAGAATTTATTCAGCTTTATTTTCGCTATATAGAATTTATTAAGCTTTACAGATTTTATTTTTAATCATATATAAAATATATTATTAGATTATACATTTACATTATTTTACGAAATAAATATTTACAGTTATATATATATTAGTATGTATTATTCAAATATTTTTTTCAAAGATTAAATATCTCTCTCTTCGTATTTCTCTCTCGGAAAAAAAGATTAGTACGTAACAGGTCATAAAAATCAATACTAAGAATGGATATTAAAATTCTTCGTGAGAAAAATGAATACGACTTACTTTCGAAATCTAAGAAGACGTCGTACTTTTGAGGCGTGCAACAGGTAGACTCGTCTCGAGCCAAAAGACTCAAAAGCTTGCCCATCGTAAGTGTACAGCTTCTCTCGACAAGGGTCACTTTACAACGTGAAAGACATCTGTAAGACAAAGTAATGTGTAATATGTACACGAGTTTTTTACTCTTGCAATAATAATAACTGTAGCATTATACAATTCCTTTTTTTAATTACAATTGTTTTGTACAACTTATATTATTTGAGATTTTATTTTTTTTAAAAGGATTCATTTAAAATTCGTCAACCGGAATTAATTTTGCAAATGTTTGGAATGTCTTGCACATATAATAATTCTAACACATTCCACAGATTTCTCGCTAAAAACACAACCGAGAGATTTCACGGGGGATTATATTTTTTAAATAATTACAGGAGATACTCGAAAGTTTTTTTTATCCGAGATTAATCCAATCAGCGAACGAAAGATATACGTTTGCACAATCGGGTTTCTATTCAAGTATGGATTGACGAGTGGGTAACTTGTCACCAGTCCGAGACTACAATGAAATTGAAATTTCTGTCCGGCGAGCCTGAGCCTATATATTCACACTCTGCACTCTACACTCGAATCATTAATTCCATACGGACGATATATACACGCCTGGACGGCTCGGATTAACGCGTATCCGTATACCGATATATCGCAGGACAAATGAATTCTGCGAACTCGTCAACTCGGGGATGAATCCGGTTGATCAATTTCCGCGAACGAGATGTTCCCCGCCAACCTCACCTCACCTGAAACGTTCGCGAAGGGGCTCCATTCGGCCGTCGATGAGGACCAACGATGACTCACGTGGGAACGTCGCGATCGAGTTTTATCGCGCCGCACCGGAGGAGGACACGCGACGAGAGTGGCACGTCCGAGAGGACTAAAAGCTCGGTCGTACTTGTCACTCGGGTGTGAGGGAGCGACGACGATCGGCTTTACGGTTTCTAAAATTGCAAACGACGAGATTCCGCTGTACCAACGAACGGCCACGTTATTTTCGGACCACATTTCGTGCTCGTCATCTTCGGCCACCGAGCCTCTCGCGCATTCCACTCGTCACAAACTTCGTTATGTATCGTGCATCATTGCTTCAAACTTCCTCGAAATCTCATTTTTTTATTTACATAAATATCTATGATATTTCGGGACACAAATTCACGATTCGTAATAAGTCAGCGCAATTCGATATTCATTTTTACAACAGCACTCGTTTACAAATAATTATAAAAAGTTAGAAAATTATTATGGAAAGAGGTGTTTACTTATAAAAAGTAAATATTAATTTTCAGTAATATTACGAATTTGATATTATTTTATCTAAAATGATAAAATTAAATATTGAAAGATGTTAATAGACGTTTTATGCTATGTAATTAAAAATTATAATTTTTAAATCAACGGATTTGTTATTATTTTATCTAAATATTAATTAAATATTAAATAACATTAATTGCTTTTACGACTGAAAAGCTTCGTTAATTTAATACAAGTTGGATTTTTGGATGAATAAATCTATATGAACCATGTATCTCTTAATAGAATTAATTAAATAATTTTAGCATAACTGTGAATTATATTATATCAGTATTAAAAATATACGAAGAGTTTAAATTTAATAAATTCAATATTAAAATAAAATAAAATAATGTGTTTTAGTTAAAAACATACATTGCGTACATTTAAAAAGATGGCATTTATTATCATAGAACCGGTTGCTGTGTCCTAAATTAACTATATTGATTAATTGCATATTTTATCAACGGCTACAAGTGATATCAATGTACAAATACTGCGAACTGCAATATGAAATAAATGTTTGCATTTGACATTCCTCCGACATTCTCCAGTGCGAAACGTTTGAAACAAGTAACATGTGTGTCTGTAATATTCTCTGCAATATTCTCTTGTGTGCAATTATTTGTGTTTTGCTTTATCTGTGTCTTTCCTTTTTTTACAATATGTGCTTTTGATAAATACGATAAAAACGTACATTTTAAATTGTAAAGTCCAAAATAATAGAAATCGGTTTCGATATATTTAATCATCAATTTTTTTTTATTAATTTGATAATAATTATTAAAACAATTTAAGTGACAGAACAGAAATAGATTGCATTCTTTCTAAACATTTTAAAGATGTATATATACTTATCAGTAATATATGTATACTAATTATTATCAAAATAAATTGACAATAAGACGAACAGGATATATATTTTATTATGCTTGAAATATTTGCAATAAAAATAATTACAATTTATCCGAATATCGATTAAAGGAAAGCTACAAACTCGTGCGCACTAAAACTTTATATAATATTCCTAGTTTCGATGCTTTCTTAAATCTCACATGTTTAATTACCGTCTCAATGAAAGAGTTAAAATTTTTCTACTTTAGCCACGGTATTTCTATCGAGAAGAAGTACTAAATATAATTCTTTTTGAAAGTAATCCCAAATATTGCTTACGATAAAAGTAACTTGAAAATATTGATTTACGATTCCAGAAAATTGATTTTACGACAAAGTATAATTTCATTAATTCTTTCCGTTTGTTTGTCTCTAAAATATTAATTTACATGATAAGATATTTTCCAAAATTGTTTTATATTTCTTTAACACACAACAGACACCAAAGGCAATAAAAGCGATTAAACTTGAGACAAAAAGAACGATTTATATTGCAATTAAAAGTCATACGGCTGAGAGAGACTACATCGTTTGCGAAATTCCAAAGCCTCAACGCTTTTCAATTAAAAACGTATAATGCAACTACGATGCTGCATTGACTTGTCAATGAATAAATTCCACAATATTACCTCATTCATTTATCTACGCCAATATCCGCAATAAAAGTGCTATGTATGTGTATGCAATCCAATGCGAATGGGTATTCTTACTTAGACTACTGCACTAAAACAACAATTCCGTGACCTATCCGAAACGGTCATCCGGCACTCGATGCCAAAACTCCCACACATTCCCGAACGAGAAACGGAGTTCAAAGAACCTGTGCACTGCAAATTTCGAACGCCTCGTTGACTGACTGATGATCGACGAACAGTATGATGAACAAAATTATCACCCTCGAATGTCATTGCATATTAAAGAGACTTCCATTTTTATGAAATATTATGTTTTAATTTTTTTCGACGTAAACAGCTATGGCTGATGATACTGATAAATAAATTTGTCAAAAGATGCAACTTTCAGAACTTTCAGATGTATTTTATCAGACTTATCAACGCTCAATTTTATTAATTTTATTTTTCTTGATTTTATTGTTCGTGTTTAAAACCTAGAATTATATAAAGACGAAGATTGAATTTGACTTTGTTTAAAGTTCACCAATGTAAACAAAAGCAGTATCATTATAAGATGTATCGTTGGATCGAATAATATTTTAGATCTCTTACAATTAGAAATTGTTTGGATATTTGTCACCTACTCTCACGAGCAATGGAAGCGGCAGGCTCGTTCGTTCGTGAACTCGAGCCTTGGTCCTGCCGGGGTCCTGGCAGGATTTTACGAGAACGCGTCGGGGATTATTCTGTGCGGTCCGATTAATCGCGTGACGTTCGACGCGCTCACCGTCGCGGAATCGCGGCGTAATCGGCGCCGACGGCGCGAGCACATGACGCCGACAGGTGCACGTCGTACGGGATGCTGGAATGCGTCACGGGGTCAACGAGCAGGCGAGGCGAGTGCAACAACTGTCATCCGGCGACCGGCCATGTTGTAGATTTCGAGAGGGGGTTGCTTCGAGTCCTTTCCTTATTTGGTAAAGCGGCGGCGCGAAAAATCGATGGGGGTTGCTTCGCAGCAAGGGTGACGAGATGGCGCTGAATAGGGATGGTTTGGTTGCCAAATGTATATCGAAATCCCGCCTGTGCGTATAAATCTAAAGGCGGTAAAGTAAAGCAGAAGAAATGACAAAAACGATTGGCAGAGTAAGATTTATTTCACGCGAGAGAAGATCATTTAATTAAATAAACGAACAAATTTTTAAGAAATAAAATTATGGGAATGAAATTACGATTTGAAAAAAGGAGCTATGTAAGTCATCCGAATATCGGTGTTAAAAGATATTAAGACATAATTTTAGAATCCCCTGATAAACATGTTATAATAAAAAATTTATTTAGGGAGTTATTTTATTTTGTTTGGAATTGAAGAATCCCGGGTTTGGAATTTTCATTAACTTTTAGAAGGATAATTTTGCAGATTAACAAAGCGTGAAATTGATATTAAAAGAGAAATTACTAAAAATCTTATATTTTTTCAATTTAATAGCGTTTAAATAAATGTGAATGTTATTAAATCAAAATTCAAAATTGTGTTCTAACAATTGATTTTATAATATAATATTTTCAAGGATAGGATTAAAACATTTTTTTTGCTTTATTTGCGTATTAGAAAATGTACTGTAAAATTTTATTAAAAGTAAATTATTCTACACAGTTGACAAAAATAAAATAACTGAAGAAATAAAAATAAAATGAGAAAATTAAGTATTCTTTTTTTTGGAATGCAAAATATTGCACATATATGCACATTCCTTTTTAGTAATACCTAATTACCTTAGTTTCAATTTCATGACATAATTATTAAATTTAAACCTTCGTCTTTATATAATTCTGGGTTACAAGAACAGACAAGTATTCACACCCTTAAAAGCTGAGCTTTGAATGTAACATATTGCCACGAATTTCACAGAAATTGAGACAAGTATCGACCAAGCATCGACCTATTTGATGAATATACTATATGGTGATAAATGTGTGTGAGTGTGTGTGTGTGTACTTTCGTGTAACGAAATCCTTGATATGAGAGAAACATGCTATCAATTGTGAATAATAGAAACGAATATAGTACCTCAAATATGGCACGCTTATCGATTCTATAGCGCATTGCGACGTATTGATTCGATGTTCAAATGAATCGGTGTTCTTCGCGTGATTCTATATTATCCTGGGTAATATAAGATTGATACACACGTGCGGAACAAATGGATATGTATATCTAATATATCGAGTGAGCTCCACGTGTCTTTGTACTATTACTATCGGTACTATTACTATACTCTCTTTTC